TGTATAGACCACACATGTACACACATGGATGTCTGCACATGGCCTTGTCATCCTTACAATGAGTAAGGTCATTGGGGTCATGTTCTGAGTCTTCACCTGAGACGGACACACAGTATTATAATCAGTGCACACTCAAGGATTTTAGCCTTTTCATTACCCAAAGGACCTACATGTCCCACTTACCTTTGTTTCCCTCTGGTTTATTGGGAACCCCCCCCCCACTACTAATAATGCATGTGTCTGTCAGAAAGGCACATATTTTACTGTTTTTAAAGGGTAATGACCAATATGGAATTTCCTGATACATCTTGCGATGTAGGGTCATATATATCCCCATAACCTTGATATGAATCCACAAAACATGTGTCCAAGTGGTCAATGGGATGTATCCCACTAATCCTACCCAAAGGACATAGGCATTCTACCATTCCTATCCCAAGTCCAGAGGGGCATATGCATCCCACCAACCCTACCCCAGAGTCCACAGGGGTACACCCAATTCAAGGGCACTTAACGATTCGGTATGTATTCCATTAATTTTTTTAATGGTTTATGATTTTTTAAGTTTTGTAAATTTTTTTATTTGGTTATGAAAAATGACCTGTCGATTTTAAGGAATCAGTCAAAATGAGCAAAATCAGCATTTGGAAAAAAGATGGGCTTTGGCTTATGCATTCTTGCAATGATGGTATTTGTTCAATCTGCTTATAATAACTCTGTATTCCATAAGAAAGTAGCAGTTAAAAGGTTAGTCTCTGGAATCAAGAATGCCTGCATTCAGATCCTAATTCTACTTTTATTAGCTGTATGGCCCTTTGGGGAGTTTCTCTCCATCTCAGGAGATTTCTGGACTAGGAAATGAAGGAAATGACAGTGTCCACTTCACAGGGCTGTTGGGAGTCCTGACTGAGAGAACATATTAAGTGTACAGCAGCGCACTTGGTCATTGATAAGCAATCATTTATTCTGTGTTCATCATTTGATTTAATCACTGCAACCATGATCCTTTGGTGAAGAAACTGAAGCTAAGGGAGGTAAACTCTCCAAGAACACATAAGTGGTTAGTATCAAAGGAGACATTAAGATCGAAGTTTACCCAAGTCCAAAGTCTAAATCTGCTTAGATTGCTCCATTACAACTTCAGATAGTTCACATGGGACAAAAATCCATATCTTGAATTAGTAACACCACTGAATAACTGTTTGCCTTTACAGGCACAGCAAATCTGAAAAAGCCCAATTTACATTAGCCAGTAAATAAACCAGCTGATCTGTCATTCTTATATAGCAGGCATTTACACAAAGCCCTTTCCTTACATTGTGTCATTTTATTCACAATGACTAGAAAAGATGGGGAGAGCATATTTCATGGGCCTAGGTTTACAAATGAAGAAATTGTAAACAACAAAAAGCCATTGCTGTCGGATCCATTTGACACATGGCAACCTTAAATGTTGTAAAGTCGAATTGCTCCCCAGTTTCTGTTTGTTTTTTTCTGTAATCTTTCCTAAAGCCCAGAGCCAGGCCTTTCTTCCACAGCGCCAATGCATACACCCAGGAACCCCAAGTTTGTTGTTAGTAACAAGACATCCTCGAATTATTTTCAGAAAGCAACATCTGATCATGTTACTGCATGGCTAAAAACTCACAGACAGCATACATTGCCCAACTGTCTCAGAACTGCAGGGAGCACTTTTACCGTGTCTGCCGTGTCCTTCCAAGTCTCGCACTTTATTTATATACAGTTCTCTTTCCTTTTCCCATCCACAGTTCTTATATGAACATGCCTTTGTGTTTGTGTTCTAGCCTTCGAAAAGGCCTTCCCTGTCATTCCAATTCCAGCAAGCTCTTCAAGTTTCAGCTCCAGGGCCACTTCCCCTCAGAAGCCTGTCGGGAACACCTGTCGCTGCTCGCTCCCCAGTTAATTAGACTCTCCTACTTACTGCAAGGTGGGTGGTTGGAACCCACCCAGAGGTGGCTCAGGGGAAAACGTCCTGCAGCCTGCTTCCAAAATTCACGGCCTTGAAAACCCTGTGGAACACAATTCTACTTTGCAACACGTGGGGACGCCAAGAGTCAGAAGTTACAGGACAGCCGCTGATTGGATGAGTTGGGTTTTGTGAATTCTCTTAATACTCCCTTTTACCTAACCTCTCACACCATGTTGTAATTGTCTAGGAGCACCTCCATCTGTCACATCAGAAGATGATTTCTTTACGGTCAGAATGTGTGCTAGTCTTCATTTTCCTAGTGGGGGGAGGGGCAATAAATATCTGCCAGATGTGAATGAATTAAAAGTACTGCACTGCCTCCCGTGGTCTCTTTGATTCCAGAGATATATCAATATTCACTTCTACTTGTATGACAAATAAAGAGATTAAATTCCCAACTTTCTTATTCTAAGTAATGAGCACATTCTCATTTCATTTTTACATCTCATCCCATCTCTTACAAGGGATGAATTTGAGAAATCAGATACGTTTCCTGGGTATTGTAGAAAATGTCTAATTAAAGTATAAGCCAAAAGTTTAATGACATATTTTCAAATTTTCCTCTATTCCCTTAGCTACCCTTTTCCCCTATTGTAATAGTGAGAGGCCAGTTGTCAGGAGGGATCACTCCCTGGAGAAGGGACATCATGCGTAAGGCAGCAGACAGTGACAAAGAGAAAGACCCTTAACAAGATGGATTGGCAGAGTGGCCGTAACGATGGGCTCACACAGGAGAACCATTGTGAGGATGGTGCAGAACCAGGCAGTGTTTTATTTGGTTGCACTCAGGGTTGCTCTGAATCAGAACGGACGTGACAGCTCCTAACAACAATCGTGAGCAATCAGCAGGCCACTTAATTAAACAGGTAGGTGGGCACGGGCCCCACACCTACTTATCACACAGTGTATCTCCACACTGGAGCTTCTTGGCCTGTTCCTTTTGTTGATTATGTTCTGTTTTGAAGAAATTAATGTAATCTTAAAAGCACCTAACACTGAGGTCGTAAGGCAAATTCACTGCCATCAACTTCACAGTTATCCCCAAAAATCACTTGGTGAATGTTTTTTAATGAATAAGACACGGTGCATGCCTGAAACAGTTTATAGTCTACTAATATTATTAGTAGACGCCTGGTCTAGCAGCACCTCCATCTGTCACATCAGAAGATGACTTCTTTACGGTCAGAATGTGTGCTAGTCTTCGTTTTCCTAGTGGGGGGAGGGGCAATAAATATCTGCCAGATGTGAATGAATTAAAGTACCGCACTGCCTCCCGTGGTCTCTTTGATTCCAGAGATATATTTTATCCTCAATTCTTCAGTTTCTTCCCCAATGACACTAGACACTGGCTGAAGTTACTACCATCCAGTTCTCATGCATTCTGGCCTCATGTTCTTTCCCATTTATACGATTTCATGCCCCCTGACAAGCATCTGCCCCAGTCCCTTCTCAGAATCGTCTTTCAACACCACAAGCAAAGCACCCGTCACTGCCACTACTATCACACTCTCAGCCAGAAGACACTTCCCACCTTCCATATAATTGCACAGAACACAGGACCCAAGAACTCACATAACCCTCCTTTCACTCTAAAACTCTCTCTCCCTCTCCAGGTAAACCACGTCTGGATTCTGCAGTCTTTCCTCCTCCCCTGCCACGTGCTTCAGACCTGCGGGAGGTTCCTGACAGGAAAAGAAATCAGGCCTCAGTGACTAAACATTTTTCAGTACTGTGGAGGCCGTGCGAGTCAGGTCTGCCCCTGTTCTCTCTCACTTGGCTCCTCACAGTCTCCATCCTCCTCCCTCCTCCCCCCTCCTTTTCAAAGGCCTGATGAGACCAGCCAGCATCTCATAACAGAAGTCAGAAGAAGCTCAAGGCTGTTGCCCCAGAAACCCAGACGACAGAATGGCTGGCTAGGAGCTGTTTGTTTTTCCCATAATCGCAGAAATCCTACCAGGAAGAGGGCACCTCTTGGCCTCATTCCACCGTGCTAATGCCTTGGTGGCTGGGATGGGGCTGGTCCCCTTGTAGCACGCTTGGAAGTAGAGAAAGTACCAACCCTGCATTATAGTGGGAGGCAAAGGGGGCAGTGAGAGGAAGCCAGGAGCTGAAGAGTAGGGGAAAGGAGAAAAACACCTGTCCTTTGGCCTTTGCACGAAAGTCCCCAGTAATTGACTCTTTCCTGCGCATTAGCATTTGGTAGAGGGGAGACTTTTTTCTAAGGGAATGGAGGAACAACCCACTGAAAGCACCTCTCTCAACTGCACAGGCAGAGCAGTAGTGGAGGATGGATTTTCACCGTGCTCTCAACTTTCAGCTGGGTAAGACAAGCCATCGCTCCTGGTTCGGCTTTTATGGCCAGTGCAAGGAACACCGGGTAACAGAAAAGAAACATTGGCACCTCCCGGGCATTAATTAATCAGGAGTGCACGGTCGCTATAGTCCCTCAAAAGCAGGAAGGACAACATGCTGCTGTTGGCCACATGATGCGGACAGAGATGCTATATTTAAAAAAAAAAAAAAAGAAAGAAAAATGACATCCAAGTGGCTGGAATATGTTTCAAGATCCTGGGTACCAAAAGCTGAGTCCATCAGCATTTAATCTACGTAGCTCAGTGTCGCTGAGCAAAACTGAAAATGAAGGCAGGCTGCTCTCTCCTAGCTTCTCACAGCTAATACTGGGAATCGCTGTGTCCCCGGAAATCACTGGAGTTGGTACTTTTAGATGGTCACAGGGGCGACGGCACTTAAAGATGAAAGTGTAATGCAGATGCCCGTAAATACTTCCTTGCAATTCAAAAGCATTGATTCATCCAAGCAGAAGACACAGCCAAACAGCTTAGTCACCAGCAAGCAGGGCAAGTCACCCCATCAATAAACCCCATCATAAAGTAAACACTCCCCCACCAGCCCGGTGCATCAGCTCCCAGGGCTCCTGGGGAACAGATAGGTAAATTGCAGCCACTTTCATAGCTACGGCACCCCCATCCCTGTCCTGGGATGTTCTTACCTGCTATCCTGAGCACTGCCCTCTCGGCTGGGTCCAGCACTGAGCCCCCTTGAATCTTTCTCTTTGACCTCTCATGTTTAGGCAAATTCCAGGGTAAGGTGTCTCCCGGAGCTGGAGATGCCGAGCCAGATTTCTGGCTGAAATCCTCCTCATCGGAAAAATCCGCAGAGGAAGACATCGAGCAGCGATAGGATGCGTTCCCGGAACTCTACAGAGGATGGATGACACAGGAAAATGCATTAACACCAAAACAGTCCCATAGGCTCCTCGATCAAACCTCTTCTCCCACCCCCTCCCACAGTGGGGGCTGGCATCCCGAGCCATCCTCTGCGCGGAGGGAATACACAAAATCAAAATGAAACCCAGGGCTCACCATCTTCTCGGCCAAGGCTCCAACCGTAAAAACAGCATTCACGAGTTCCAAAGCCTGGGGTTTGCACAGAAGTGTATGGCCTGCGGTCAGGCCACCAGTGCACAAATGACCAGCCCAACAATGAAGGCTGAATCAACAGCCTTCCTGTTACAAATCTATAGTATTTGGCTCCCCCACCAGGGCAGGAGAAACATTTTCCATGGCTAGCCTGCTGGTTAATTCATTAATGCAACGCGAAGTTTCAAAAACAAAGCACAAATGCAGGATGTGGAGCCCAATTCCTTTCCGCTTCAAGTCGCCTCACCACTGGAGTCTCCTTTCGGACTCGCCTCGGTCCCCTTGTCCCCTTTATTTCATTCTCCTCCTGAGATTGATGCAGGGTCCCAGAAGACAGCAAGGAGGGAGGGAGGGCGCATTCTGAGAATAGCCCTTTCTTAAGAACCGGAGAATACAAAAGTCTGTTTTCAAAAGCTGAAGGCAGGGCCAATAAACAAACATCTGAACTCAGTTTAGAGTTCTTGAGAGAGTTTAAAGTTCCAACCAAGTAACAGCTGCCAATAATGTAAATGAGATCGCTGCAGTGCGGGGACAGGAAGCAGAGCCCTTCCCAGCTCCTGGTCACTACCCAGCGAAATGAGAAACACGATGCTTTCAGGAGCACTTTGCCTGAAGGTTAGTCCTCCTCCCTTCCACGGAAGGGCGTTCTCCTGCACAAAGGGTTGTTAGACCTTCGATACAGGAACAAGACACAAGCGAGCATCCTTCCCTGGCTACTTGACTGGCTTATGTTTGTGATTACTTTAGAAAGCCGCCTGGCTTACTAAGGAAACAAGGTCCCTGACTGCATCTGTGCTTGTAGAACACGGTGACAAATAAAATTAAGCTTTAGGGAACTCTTCACTTTCCCACCGAGAATACCACGTTGCTGGGGCTCACGGTGAAGATGCGAAACGGGTATAACTTGAATTGCTGAAAGGCTGCTTGCAGCCATGGATTCCTAAGCCCCAAGCGGCCAGCAGCAGTCAGCGAGGCGTGATCCAATGGGAGCGAAACACTAGGCTGCTCACAAAAGCAGGCTCTGTGAGCCACCTCCCCAAGCACTCACCCAAGTCCATGAACTATGCCAGTCCACCCGGACCACGGACCTGACGGCAAGTACACTGTCCCACAGGGTGGACACCATCATTTTACAAGGACACATAGCATTCATTTGTCTAAGTACACAGAATGCTTACTATTAAATATATGGATATTTAATAGTAATAATATTAAATATATATATACTTAATTATTGCAAAGTAGAACGTGTCAGATTTCTCTTTTGTTCTATTCTTCCCAGAGTGTCCCCCTCAACCCAAAATCGGTCTTCCATGACTTTCCTCTCCTTAATTTTTTAATTAATTTATTTAGATGTTATATGTTTTCCTAATGGCAAGAAAATATTCGGTCAACATAATAAAGAAACCTGATTTTCTGAATTATAGCTAGAGTCAGCAGAGAGTTGCATATGGCATTCAGTGCCTCCCAGTATACTAGTCTCAGCCTCGTTTATTTTCCTTGCTCCTGTGAAAATTCATCTTGAGCTCTGTGAGGTTAGCTGGATCAATGGAAAAAGGTGACATTCTTAAAGACTTTTAAAAGAGTGCTGGGTTTCTTTGGTTGCCTTCTGTCTTCCTTAAGATGACTTCTTACCTGTCCTTACTTTAGGTCATCCTTTATCTGTGTGATTAAATTTCTGGTTCTTTGCCCGCACTATTTTAGTGAGCATAGTAATTTGATTGTTTATCTTTACAGAGAGTCCTACACAGGGAATAACTTGAAAAAGAACTGTTCCTTTCATACACACACACACACACACACACACACACACACACACAACACTGACTATTGATTTCTTCAGAGTAAATTTTTTTAATGGCCAGGGTCTCAGCTGATTGAACAACAAAATGTGATGTATGCTATGACATAAACACCATTAATCACAAGCAGCCAGATGGGAAGAGTTACTACCCCTGGACCCAAGGGTGTTGACAAGTGCAGCCTCTAATGTGGCGTTGTCATTTGTAAGCAGATAAGGGAGAAAAGGATGAAGGGGCAATCAGCGACACCTCTTTCAGCAATACAGAGTAGGAAAAGAAACACACACACACACACACACATACACACACACACGGAAATCATACGTGCTTCTCTCCAACAACATGTCTCCCAGCATATATGACTTGAGTGTTTCAAAAAGTAAAATAATAGCTTTATTTCATATCATTTTCATGAACACTTTTTTTAAGCATAAGGTAAACCATAAAAACTCAGTCCCATTTGAACCCTGAAGTTTTAGAATAAATTTAAATGAAGCTGCTTTGAGGTACACAGAGCTTCTAAGATGGACCTTTATTCATTTGAAACAACTTGCCGACCTGTGTCACAACCTTGAGCGTGAGCGGGAAGGGGGTGTGAGTAGATTTCACTCTCTTCTTTGGGAAAAAGCAAACATGTTCTGACTCAAAACCCAGAGCCCAACCGTTAACATGGAGTTGGGAAGTAGCCCAACAAAGCAGAAGAGTCCTGTGATCAGCAAAGCCCACTGGTTCCTAATATTCTACTTTGTAGCCTCCTTTGATTCCTGTTTACATGCAAATGGCTCTGCCCATAAATAGGGGATTGGTTGAATAAATTAAGAGTATATCCGTTCAGTAAGCCACTGTGCTCACTGAAACAAACCATTGTGGGTCTACGTGCAGCAACATGGAAAGAGATCATATAGAAGGGCTCTTGTAAAGTAAAACGTTTTTGTGTCATTAAGTGTACGTAAATATACATATCAGATAGTTTTACAAGTACATGTGTATGGAAATATAGAAAGGTTGCTATGAGTAACACCAGTTACTTTCTCGATGTTCTACCAGTATGTAAAACACAAATAGTGGTTGTCTCTGGGTGATAACTAAAATTATGAATGGGTTTAATTTTGTTCCTTATAATCTTATTATCCAAAACAAGGACAGAAACATACATAAGATTTTTTTTTTAATTAGAAGTAAAAAATACTTTGTTAAGGATCAGAGAAAATGCCAAAAGACACAATTTAGAATTAAGTATTTAAGTCAGTACTTATTACGATTTGGGTATATGGACACCCCTGAGAAGGTGATGAAAGCTATAGGAACCTCCATTCAGAGAAAGCACATAAGCAAATACACACACATACACAGCCTTTGCATTTAATTTTATGAGGCTCAATGACCCACTGACCCCAGGTTAAGATCCAATTGACAACACATCTGTCATCACCACTTGACATGCAAGTTGAGAACAAGAGCAAAGGGAAAGAGCTGTGGAGTGCACGCACCACAAAGAGGGGACAGGGTAACTACGAGAGTAAAGACAACACAGGCCTAGATCATGTATTTTTAACATTGGGACTCTTAAAAAAAAAGACTATGGACTGACATTGGATCATTACAATGCCCCGAAAATAATACTAATAAGTTGTGATATAAACCAAACAACTCAAGATGATGTCTAAGACAAGCTGGTTATTAAAGCAGTTTTACCCATCGTATTAGACTACCAAAGTTTTAACTGACTTGGCCAATTCCTTGTATTAAATGAAATATGCCAAAATTTTCCCAAAGCCAGGATAATTACATAATGCAACATATGTGGACAGGGATGCAAACAAGAGCTTTTCTAATTGAAACCCCAGTGGGGGATCTGAGGTAAGTACAATGGAACTACCTAAATTGGACCCAGACCAACCTTAGCACCCCAATCTGTAGGAAAGAGCCAGGACATTGTCTCTGCACTAAGCTTCTCTGAATGTGATGAGGAAACGGGAGCAGAGATAAGGGTCTGCAAAATGCTACACTTCTAGAACTCCAGACGCTGGAAAATAACGTTCACCAACCCACATACTTATTATGTACGACTGTTCCATATGTATTTACACTCCAGAATGATAGATATCTTCAGTCAATGTCAATGTCACGAATCATATACATTCAAAAGGCGGGGACTGTTCTAAGTTTTAAGAGACAAATGAACCTTTTTTAAAATTCATGAATATTTTGAATTATGATTTTTTTTTTTTTAAACATTTTATTAGGGGCTCATACAACTGTTATCCCAATCCATACACACATCAATTGTGTAAAGCGTA